ATATACCAGAAACATGTCTGATTCAGAAATACAAAAATATCCTTTGCTTCCTGGAAGATATTCCCCAAACACATGCCTCTGTAGTACAACCTTATAACTTCCACAGCTTTTACACATATTGTTGGGCTTTTCTTGTCTGTCATAATTGACCCAAATGAGGATGTCACATGTTTCCAAGCCTCCTAGGTATGGGTCCATCCATGGAAGTTTTTTGAACTGTAGGACCACAGGATGCACTTGCATGTGAATATCCCCTTTTCTGCCTCTCTTCCCTGTATGCAGACCTCTGCAGTGCTACTGCTCCAGCCTTACAAGAACTGCTGAGACCACTCAGGCCTGAATAACCTATTCAAAAGCACACATCTCCAGGGTGATGGATTCACTTTCGAAGCAAAAGTAATTAGGAGAAAAAGGAACACAGATTTATGAATTGACCTCACTTTCAAACCACACAAAAGTTGCAGGTCTTCAAGTAAAGCACTAAAAGCCTTCAGAATTCCCTGCAGTGCCATCTCTTCTTGGGAGTCCAAGGGACCTCCTTGCCTCTACAGATGTTAAGGCAGGGAACGAAAGAAAACCTGTCCTTTTCCTGAGATCTCATTTTTTTACACTAGCTGCCCTCCTCCCCTGTGTCTTCAGGCAATTAAAGCCCAAACCTCACTGGAGATGAACATGAACTAGCTCCCTTGGACCTCTTTGCTAAATGTTATCCTCTTTAACTTTTTTTTCTTTTGCTCTGAGAAATACTTCTGCTGACTCCCACAGTAACTGTGATAGTGTGGTGCCATGTGAAATTTTAACTATAATCACCGCCGTACACAAATGTGTAAGCATCACTCCTGCAGATGTACTCAAGGCCACGTTTGGTTATTTGCTGCTGGTCCAGAGTTTCAGAGCACTGAAGCCACTGTACCTTCCCACTCCCTCAGCTAAATCACAGGCAACAGTAACTGCACAGGAAATACCAGGAACCTCTATTTCATTCCACAGGCAAAGAGTTGACCCTCATCTTCCTTGTGATTGTCTCCTGACAATCAGCATGAACAATAACAAGATGGTGAGAAGCCTTTGCCCTGCCAAGAAACAGGTGTTGTACATTATGGCTGCTACAATAGATGGTGGAGAAGACACTCTTGCTGCCTACTTCAAGACCTACAGTCTCTTCCATTGCCAACTAGCCTATGAACAATAGGATAACACCCCTTCAGACTATGTGACTGCTCACTACAGTTCTCATGACACTATCCTATGACTGCGGAGGTTTTGACACTGTTGAGGAAGCATCAAGGGCAGGGTTGCTCCCTGAGGGAAGGTAAGCTAAGGGCTGAGGGTAGCCCCACAACGGCAGCACTCTCACCAGCAAGGCACCATCTCATAGGGCCCAACCACAGTGGACAGAGCCGGGAGCTGGTAATAAGGTCAATAGCCCCAGACATGGCAAGTACTGATACAGGTCCAGGGCTCAGCAACCAGAAAACAAGCCACCTACAACACAACTTCAAGTTCCAGTCAGGAGGCAGCACCAGAGACAGCATTAGAGACAGATATACCTATAACATAGATCAGAGACTGAAGGTACAGGCCTTCAGATATTCAGCTTCACTTTGACTAGGTAACATGAATATGCTCAGGTTAGCTAAACAGCGTAACTGTCCCACTGCAGGTGTCCTCACCTGACCCTCCCTGGGGAAGTGTGGCAGTTCCTCTGCTCTTGGGCTTCTAATGCAGTGCAGGACCCTGCTCTAGGCAGACCGCACTTGTTTTAGTACTGTGAGTCTGAAAGTTTGTTAAGGCATTCTCAGAGCAAGTCTGCACCTCTGATTCTTGTCTTTAACCCCTTTTCCATGTATCTGCATGAATGGTCTGTAGTAGCAGAGCTCTCCAAGCTCTGTTCCACTATCTACATCTGTGAGGAGGTAAAGAAAATGCATTTAAAAACTGTAAAATCAGTGCTGTGTGCTAACTGCCTGTGTCCCTTAGAAAATATTTGCACCATGCATTATTGACATGAAAACTCTCTTGGTAATTTGTAAACTACTTTTAGCTCTTCAGGATTCCTTTCCTCTTTGGCTTCCCTAAAGAAATGTGCTGTACAGGCGAACATGCCTGTTCAGCTGAGCTCCAGCTTCAGCACTTTTCTGTATTAAGCTGAAATGTTGTTTTCATTACCAATCTTTAATCCTTTAAAAAAAAAAAAAAAAAAAAAAAGGAAAAAAAAAAAAAAGAAAGCCTGCAACTGAAACTGTTTCTCATAAAGTCCACATTGCATAAACAATTGCCCCAGGTCCTGGGAACAACAGCCAGTCCACACATGGACCGCACCACAAAAGCAACAGCTCATACTGGTCAGGCCAGGGCAGAACAAGGACATGCTCACTTTGAGGGACAGATGGTATCTATTTAGCTAAACATTCTTCCACTAAGGCTGTTTTAACCCAGGCCCAGATCATTTTTATCAGCTTCTTATCACATTTGGGAGCCCAGCATGCTTCTGATGGAGGCTGTGCAAGTACTTCCCAGAGAGTGCAAGACAACATACCGGCATGAAGAGGAGGTGTGTGGATGTGGAGGGGAGGGGAATAAAAACAACCCCATGCCATGTTTGCTGATTTTGAAAGGTTATTGGATGTATTTCCAGGTAGAATATAGATACAAGAAAGTAGGAAGCCTCTTTCATCCATACTCAGTCTTGCTATACATTTGTGGCCAGACTGTCAGCCTTTAACTCTCCCATGCCTGTACACTGTTTTTCAGGCTGACATGAAGAAGCTCTGCCAGTACTCTAAGCCGCTGGAAACCTCATGGTATCTGTAGCATGGTATTAAGCTGAAACTATCCTGGCTCACATCTGACTGCAAAATTCAGTGTAGACATGCAACTTAGCCTGGCACTTGCTCCTAGGAATGTTTCCCTTCCGAGATACTTTGGTTGTGAGGACAAGGTGTTGCTCATCCTCACTATGTGTATTAGAGGGTGCCTTACCGCTAGACTACCAGGTGAGAGCTGTTATCTGAAACCTCCAGTGCAGCAAGGTGATACAGCTCTGTGTCAGTCCTCCTGAACTGTGAAAGCACCACATGTGAAACTATTAGTGTGACATCTGCACAGTGTAGCACACACCAAAGCACCTTGATGTAGAGAAGAACAGGACGGTGTTCAGAGAGAGCAGAGAGGAAAGTGTGGGACACCTATGAAAGGCAAAGAAATCTCTCTCTCTCTTTTTTTCTTTCTTCACTAGGGAACTGGCTCACACAGTACTACAATAACAAGCACTGGCAGGCTGCCCAGCATCACTGTACTCTGCTTGTAAGTGAACTATGAGGCTCAAGCAATCTTCTGGGAAAAGTTCACACCAAATGTATTGTATGTTATGTTTTCCCCTCGTCATACTTTTTTTTTTTTTTCCCCAAACTAGTCTATTATATTCCTTCTCTGTTGCATTACAGATATTTTTTAAGATCCCCAGGAGCTGTCCTTTTGAAAACCAAGCACCGAGTAATCAAACAGATCTATTTTTTTAAGTAACAGATTTAAACTAGTAATCCTCCTATTGGAAACAGCCCTCAGAATAAAATTGGAGCACAACTTGTTGTTCAACAGTGGGGTTTTCTGTTTTGGGGACTTTTTTTTGGTTTTGTTTTTCTTAGAAACAAAACAAACAAACAACAACAACAAAAACAACAACAACAAACAAAAAACACAAAACAAACAAACAAACAAAACAAACAAACAAACAAAAAACAATAAAAAAACACCAAAACTAGAAATTGAGAGAGACCAGAGACAGGCATGCTATTAAAATTCTGTCTATACAATGTATGTCTTCCATGGAGTGGAAGCAAAAGATGAGCAGACTACAATAGCACAGCAATAAAAGGGAAAACTTTTAAAGAGTGTCCAAAGGAGGACTACAAAGATGGTGAGGGGTCTAGAGAACAAGATATATGAGGACTGGCTGAGGTCCCTTGGTTTGCTCAGCCCCGAGCAGAGCAGGCTGAGGGGAGGCCTCATGGTGGCCTGCAGCTCCCTCACGAGGGGAGCGGAGGGGCAGGCGCTGAGCTCTGCTCTCTTGGGACAGCGACAGGACCTGAAGGAATGGCATGGAGCTGGGACAGGGGAGGGTCAGGCTGGGGGTTAGGGAAAGGGTCTGCACCCAGAGGGTGGTTGGGCACTGGGACAGGTTCCCCAGGGAAGTAGTCACAGCACTGAGCCTCCTGGAGTTGAAGAAGACTTTGGACAATGCTCTCAGACACCTGGCTGGTCCTGTGTGGAGCCAGGATTTGGACTCAGTGATCCTTGTGGGTCCCTTCCAACTCAGGATATTCTGTGATTCCAAAGAGAATGTTCTGTGCTTGATCTGGACCTTTCAAAACAAGTCTGACCCGTATTTTACATGACAGTCCTGGTCACCTCACAGATGCTTACTGCAACATGCAGTGTAAACTTAATGTACAAATAGAGGTTTTACCAGAAGCACATGAATTTGTGGTGCTTGAAGAGTGAAGGGAAGAGTCACTTGTTCTGTGCTGCAGACATAAGATGCAGTTGTTTTTACTTTTGACTGTCTCCCAACATGGCTTTTACAGACTTACAAAAAGACAGTTTTTCTAAGATCACAGATACCATGAACACACTGAAAGTAATTTATTTGAAAAATTAGACCATGGACAGTTAGTTGAAAACTGGGTAACAAAAATAGGTCCATCTGTACATAGCCAGCCCAAATACACATTACCCATTGCCCCGCAAATACAAATCCTGTGAAATTATGATTTACTGTTGTTGATACTAATTAATTTTATTTCATTAATGCCTGAAGGCCGTTGCTAAACTCTGTGTTGCACTGTGTGAGGTGTTGTACCTATGCATAGGAAGTTTTTGCCTCAAAAGGCTTAGGGGGTTAACTTAGGGTCTTTGTGCAGATGTGACTGTACAGAGAACAAACTCACAGCAAACATGAAACAGTTCATTCAGTTTTAATTTGTGGTGGTATTGAGTACCTGTGATTCATGGAGACCTTTGTAGGAGTTTTGGGTGTTCAGCACTTTTGAAAGCCAGACTGAAGTTTCTTGCTATGCTTCTGACAAAAGGACCTTAGAAATTAGAGGCAGAAAAGACTTATTAGGTTATCAGGCCAAATTCATCCCAGAAGAAAACCTATTGAAGTCAATGGAATTTCATCGGGGATGGATTTACCATAGAAAGATTGTTCCCTATAGTATGTTTGATAGTGCTTTGTCCTATACAGTTTTAATTAGCTCTGCATTAGTCAAGGTACCATACCATTGTTTCAATCAGCTACCCTTGCAGAAAACTGTCTCTAGCTATCCTTGTCCATGCTTCCCCCCATTGCCCCCCCATTCCTGGCTGCCTTCTTCTCATCCTCTCATTATTTTATGTCTAATTCCGTTAATGAATTTCACAGACAGAGCCTTCTTTCATGTTTGACAAGGACCTAGACTACTCTGTTTAAAAAAAAAAAAAAAAAAAAAAAAAAAAAAAAGACAGGGAAGAGAGAACATATTCTTACGTTGAGAAAAGCAAAGGTGTTTATGAAGCCTTAAGCTTTTCTTTGTCACTCCATCAATCCACATACAGCCAGGCTACAGTTTTTCACCACATATTCTGCATTAAGATAGACATGAGTACTTTAGTCTTGCCTTTGCAGTTTCATCACTGACTTCCTGCGCTGTTAGAACACTTCACTTGTCAAATCTCTGCTTCACCACCACTGCAATAGCCATAGTCATGCACATGTAAAGAATTTCTCATGCTGCTTCAGGGAAATCAGGAAAGAATATTAAGTCCTATAGTGGAAAAACACAGTAATACAAAGCAAATGATTGCTGCCACCAGTACTTACCGTCATTTTTATCATTATTATTTACCATCTTAACATAAACATTCATCTTTTCTCTGAGTCTTGCCTTTTTTATTTTTCACTTTTTTACTTTTTTTTTTTTTTTTTTTACTTTTTTTTTTTAACCTTTTCTAATGAAGGTTCTAACAAGATTACAGGGAACTTGTAGTCCATGATTTCAGTAATATAATTACAACTGAAACAACAGTGTCTAGTATAAATGCAGAAACTGTGGGTTCAGTGTTGCCTTCTGCCAGAAAGAAAAAAAATAAAAAGTCCACAACTAACAAACTCTAAAACCACATTGGATCAATTACTAAATCCCATCTACGTAAAGATGTGTGTGTTCACTTCTGAGTCACTGTATCATTTGACCACGCAAGAGGCAATACAGTTTACTTAAGGAATGTCAGAAAAACCAGAACATAATTAAAATATAGCCATGCTTTCAGTTTTCTTAATGCTCTTCTAAAGTAGGCACACACTCACTTCAAAATTGACCACAGAGCTTAATTAAGCTTCTTCTGATCCTGCCGGGAGGGTTCCATGTTGTCTTCCTGTGGTCATTTCATCAGCCAGGGCTTTTCATGTAAGAATGTGCTGCATGCATGTCACAGCATGGGATCTCATCACAGACACCTGCTCTCAGCCTGTGAACACAGATTTTAATCCCTCTCCTTGCAAAAATGGTGACAGAAGGGCATATTATTTAATTACTCATGCATGTTCTCCAAAACAGGGGCCACAGCTTTACTTGTTTCATATGGTTTGTGTTTGTTTTTTTGTTTTGTTTTGTTTGGGGAGAGTCGTCAAATCGGATGGTTGTTAAAAAGGAGAAAGCTTCATTATAGATTTCTCTTTGCCATTCAATGAGAATGATATAAGAAAAGACTGGCAAGATGAGAATGCAACTGAAGAAAATCTAGGTATGTATGATAAACTGAGCCATAAAATTATTTGTGATTTCTTAAGTTCTCACTGTGAAGGTACGTAAGCTAAACTGTACTGTGTAACTTGGCTCTACTGTAATACATGACCACAGATCCAGCTAAAACTGTGACAGCCACCTCTAACACACTGAGGAAGGTGAAAGCAACTTAAACTTACTAATGCCTTCATCAAAGTTAGATCTATAGTGGTGGTTATGTTTCCCTTGGGTGCTAAAAGGGGAAAAAACAGGAAGATGAAAGAAGAGGTATAAACTTCTCACTCTACTTAAACAATATATTTATTAAATCACTTCAGTCAAAATCATTCACCAATTCCTGCAAAATCCAATCACGGACCAAAGCAAAGCACAGCTAAATGAAACGTTATATATTGTATCCGGCAAGCAATCACCATACTTGCATTCTCATTGCCCTCAGCAGCACCTGCATTCTTTGATCACAGTCCTTTTATGTGCTACACTGTATACAAAAGACCAAGCCAGCAATTAGCCATTCTAGCACTGGGTCCTGAAATCCCTGCAAATGCTCCAGCCCTTTAATGAATTCCTAAATAGAAGGAAGTTGCAAACAAAATTCAGCTTGTGTATTTTCTGCCAGGTTCCCACAGCACTGTAGGTTCTTAAAACTTAATTAATGACACTTGCATCCTGTACGCCTTCCAGAGTTTTAGTGGAAATTGTACTGGTCACTTCAGACTCTGACATCTTTTGGACAATTGTCCTCAAAATGTTGGGCAACTGCCCCAGTCTTTGGAAGAAAAAGACGAGACAGCTGCTAATCATGACTCATCTGTATCAATGGCAGGGACAAAAACTGAAGGGACAAGGCGTGCATCGTAAACCAGCCATAAGTCTCATGGTTCCACTGAAATCCTATGCATTGTATAGGAACCAAAATGGGGAATGAAAATGAAAACCACAGCCTAATACACCAGCATGTGGGAACTCTGCCAATGCCCCTAATTAAAATTTTGTACTAATCTCTTCAGGGAATCCAAGAAATGCTCTCAGAAAATGGAACATTCTTCTATGCACATCCAACTACTTATCCTGTAAAAGTGAATATAAAGGAGATTGTATATGATAAGGCAGAGGTCAGTAGAGTGGAAAGGACACTGTGAAAGCTACAGGAAATGACCCATCTTTGAACAAAAATACTGAAATTCCTTTTTGAACCCTGACTCTCACAAATTATAAATTTGCTAGTCCTTGTCTAAAGATCATTACATCAATGGAAAGAGTTAATTTAGAGTTAATTTTAATTTAGTGGGTTTTTAATCAGTTCCCAAAACATCAGAACATAAAATAGGTATTTAAAATTACAAGGTATGCCAACATGTCCTTTCCCTTCTTTTCCTTTTGTCCTACCATCATTAAAGAACTTGGAGAGGGTGGTTTGAGATGAATGAGAAGTGTAGAGGCTGGACTGGGGAGGATCTGGGACAGCACCTCTGACACTGGCTTATGGGCAATAAACAACACATTCAGTGCTGTCTGAGATGCAATTAGAGATGAAAGGAATGAAAGAGTTGGTAATTGGTTGGTAACTGCTGAGGGAAGGGATTCTGATAAATAAGTGTTTTTAAGAAGGGACAAAATAACTCTGCTTTTATTAGTAAAGGAGAGACAGAGCGAGATTTTGAGAGGAAAAACAGGGTGATACACAGGTGAGAAGGAAATAAGGTGACTGGAGCAAGCACACAAAAGTAGGTTAAAATCCTGTTCATCTGGATGGAAAAAGATACAAGGTAGGTAGGAGACATAAGAAAAGCCATAGCCAATGGGGAAATTTTATCATGCTGCATCAGTTTTTCATTTTCTTAAGAAACTGGCAGGGTTCTATAAGGAGAAATAAGTGAAGGTAGTAGGAGATTCATCTATGCAAGATGAATCTAGGCAGGCTATGCAATTAGTAAATCATCAGTTTAGCTATGAGACTGAGCCTCAAGTCAACCAATCCTATCCTGAGCTCAAGTTATTCAAATCTAGGGCTTCTGTTGGGCTGGTAGGGAGCTACAGGGTTTAATCATCGATTGTCTTCCACTTTCCATAGCCCCTTGCACTGATGCAGATTGACTGAACCTAGTAAAAGGGAAATGGAGGCACAAGCATGTGTGACACCCACCCTTTGCATGGCTGTAAATGACTACATGAAAATCAAGATAGTGGGGGTCCAGCTCCCTTGGCTAATTCTTCCAAGTGAAAAAGATTTGCTGCGAACCCAAAGAGGACTTCAGCTCCGATCCATTTGTCATTTGAAGAGCTTTTCTTCTTCTGTCCAGTTCAGAAGCAAACAAAATTTCCTCTCTACTACCCTTTTCTAAAGGATCTTTCTGTGACTAAGCCATTTATGTGTCTATATTACATGTAATTCTCTGATGCCAGATGAGATAACAGAGATAATCCTCCTAAAGGATTTGTGGCATTATAGATTACAGCTTCTATTTGTATGTTGTATGCATTGCCTTCAAGAGGTCTTGAGTGATGGTATAAGATCTCTGTATTCAGATTATAAGATATTTGCATTCAGCACTGCCTTATTATAGGTTTAGAAACACCAACAACCCAACTAAGCAACCAGCTGTTCAGATCCTGCTGTTCTCTTAATCCTTGCAAAGGTAAAATACTATTGTGGTCAGTGGGATCCTTGCCAGAGTAACAAGATTTAAGTCATTTTTTTTATTTTTTTTTATATTTTTCTGTGTGTATGTGTGTATTTTCACCTTATATTTCATTATAAGATAATGATCACTTAGTGGACGTAACAATTTATTCCAGTCACCTTTGTTTCACCATAGTTTATCCAAGCCAGAGTAGTAGTTATTTACAGTGCATTTTTTTTTTTTTTTTAAGATCTAAACTCGTGTTCTCACTATCAACAGGAATCTCATCATTGGAATTCACTCACAGCTCAGAGCCTACCTAGGGCTTGAACACAGAGATACTTTTCTAGATCTGCCTGAAGGTGCCCTCACTAGGAATCCTCTCAGGAAAAAGCTGAATAGTTACAGCTGAACTCCAGAACTCCACAAGTATATGGCAGTAATATTTCCAGGAGGCAATAATCACTAAGAAGACCTTTTGCTTCATTTCCTGCTGAATAAGATGTGCTTTTCTGATAAAGGAACTGAATAATTTGGGGAAATACGGAGGAGCTGTGCTCAGTAGCTTCACAGTATGACTGTTCTGATACAAGGCCAACTCTGGCTCCCAAGCCTGGAAGCCAGCATAGCCGACCTCACTGATATGGGATGGTGTGAAACACTATTCACGCAAAAGTATATCCTGCTTACCACATGTGCGATATCCCTAGAAGGAGCATGGTTAGTGATGAATTTGGGTGACATTAATGCAGATGTCATGTACAATGTTCTGTTGCCTAATTATTAGTGTATTTATGATTCTTAAATCTTGCAATGATCATTTCTTAATTTCCTCTCCTGTGACAGCATAAAGTGGGGAAAATTATGCCTGATCTCCAGCAGTAGGCACTTCAATCTCTACAGCAAAAACCTGTGTTTTCTAGCCTCACACACACTTACATTCTTCCTGTTGTGGTTGAAGTCCTGAAAGGATCAGCAGCATTCAACCAATGGCAGCCACCTCCAGTCTTGAACAATGACCTACATCTTCAAAGACGTTTAGGCATCTCTTGATTTCAATTACTTGCAAAGAGCAAAGTAGGTAGCATAATTCTGGTACATACAAGCAGGCAAACATCTAATGGAAATACACCTTTAGCAGCTCGTGTCTTTATGATTTAGGAAGTTACAGATCTCAGCTCTTTGTTTTCTTTCCGACTCCTCTGGCTGTGTTGAAATCACCACTGTGACAGCCAAGATGAAATAGCTGACTGTGTGAGCATTCCTTGTCCTTTCCAATCCACAGCAAAACTACTTAGCTTAAATCACCGCTGACGGGAACTAACTTCTTAAACAGGTTTGAACTTGATCCTTGTTGAGCACATCTGACTGTGCCCCAGATTGCCTAGTTCAGCTCAAAGCCAGCACATGTACCCTATTATCAGTAGCAGCAGCTCTACATCAGTCAGCAGCTGGCAGACGGGCCCTTGGGGACTTTTCTAGTCAAGGCTAGTGCAGCCCTATGGTTGCTTCAATATATTCTCCGTGCGCAAAACAGGACGTATCTCTGTGCAAATGTTGTTATTGCACAATGGGTGTCATTGATAGCAGGAAAGAGACAATGCTTGGGAGCTGGACGTGCTGTTCAAACATCACTCCAGTCTTTTTATATACTCTGATTAAGGCCCTTTACTTAGAACTGCCATCATGCTGTTGCTGGCTACTTTAAGTGCACGGAGAATATCTGAAATCCCTTTTTACCCTTCTTTAAAGGATGAATTGAACCGTATTTCAGTGCTTGAATTTCTAGAGTTTGTGACATTCTCGTAATGTAGATTCTGGCTTATCTATATCCAAATATATACAGACCTACCTACACAAACAGGTACATTCACAGTACCCGTCTTTTCAAGCACTACATACATTTTCCCTATTAGACCATTCAGTTTCTCCACTGTGTTTCCAGATCATAACACCTCTGTTGTCAACAATACTTAGCCTTTCATACCCTAGCAGTATTTCTCCAGCAGCGGCAAACAGGTCTGTTAGGCGACCAGGAAATGGTCGCCTAACCATTCCTTTCCCTTTTTGCAAAGGAAAACTGTTACAAGGAGAATAT